CAGATGTAATGGAACTTAGATGCAATAAAAAGCCTTTGCATAATCCACGTAACAAATTGAGACGAAATTTCCTTTGTCAAGTTCTCTATGGCAGAGAGGAATGTGGACAGCAGAGTAGAAAGGGTGACCTTGCTCCTCAAGAACCCATATTGGTTATCATCGAGAAGGTCCCTCTCCATAAGAAAGCTGGTAATGCGACGAAAAACTGCACTCTAAATAACTTCGCTACCAGAGCTACAGTAGTGGCCAGAAATTTATGAACAAACGGTTTTTTCATGATTTCTCTTTTGAAAGTCATTGCAACCTCTTCGAATTTGCTACAATCATTAACTACGTGTTTCATGATCCACACAGAAATGATTCACCCTTCAGCTCAAATTTGGGTCTAGAAAATTTTAGATTATCGAAATTAATGAAGGCAGGTGAAATCACTTGATCGGTTTATTTGATTTAAATAATGTATAACCCAACAGAACAGTCAAGTAAACAGTCACTAACATTAAGTATGTCTAGCACATTGCCAAGAACTCTCTAAAGTATTGAATACGTAAGCTGGATTCGAATGCGGGGTCAACTAATGAACTCACTCTCTAGTGGGGTCTCTCTCTGTAGTCCCGTCTTTTCGTGGCTCTTTCATTGACATACGGCTTTGTAGGTCCTCCCGTAGTGGCTCTGTAATGTTTGGCTCGAAGGTTTAGCCTGGTTGGTCTTTCAAAAGCACCCCATGCTGTCGAAACCCCTCCTGCGTGTGAGAGGCCCGAGGTTTTGAGTCGCTGCTCTGCTGACAGATAAAGCCACGTGTGGCAGCCATGTCTACGGATACATAACATCTTCCACAATCTAAGTCTATACCACGTATTCCTTAGTTCTCAAAGTCTAATAAGAGCGCTCGCTGTGAAGTGGGTGGGAGTAGAAAGTGATTTACTAGGCTTGAAACGAAGGTTGATACAGGTTTCTAAAGTCATCTGGAATGACAAAAACATTTTACTTATGCATGACAGAACGGATACTAGTAATGTGCGGCACCACGATAGGGAACGTTTTGACAGCATGGGTGCTTTCAAAAGACCAGCCAGGCCAGACTCTTGAACCAATCATTGGGGGGAGGGCCTGCAAATTCCCTGCTTGCTTGTTACTTAAGAAAGCGCCCAACACGTCACATCGAGAAGTTACCCTGCGACGAGCAGGGAAGAGCGTTCAACACCGTTCACGCAAAAAGTCATATTTGTCTATCAGGTACCGCCTGAATTGCCTCCACATGTAAACTCGCAGCAAGTTAGGTTGAAAGAAGTTTTGCCACCTAATCTGCCACGAATTGCCCGTGCAAAATGGTTGCCAGCGCAAAACGAATTGTTGTACCTGTATTGTAGGACACCAAGATGGTCCTGCGCAGGGAATGGCCAAAAAGTCACTTCACCGATAGCGCATTCATCAAACTCGGTCGCGCAGGATGCCGCTGCTGATGGGAAGTTTTAAGGCAGAAACATTTTTGGATGTCTCTGCATAAGCAGGATTGCGGGTTATTCCTCACTCGTCACGCACCCGGATTATGACGCATCTGCCATCACCGTCGAACTCGAGAGGGCTACCGTGGTCGCCCTATCGTTAAAGTGCCCTACATTAATCTTTCGTCGGTTGACGGCGTGCGTAGCTTCCCAGGAAACCGTCGCTGCTATACCCTTGTCCTTTCAGATAACATCGTCATGTCCGCGGTTTAGCATGGATCAATTGAGCTCTGCGGCAAACGTTCTCATGAGAAATTCTTCCGTTGTTCGTCGATGAAAAAGAATTTTATTATCCTGAGAGCAGGAGGTATGCTTTAAATTTTCAATTTGCAGGTGACGGTTTGAATTTGGCAAGTGTAGCTAAATGCGTTTTCAATACGGATTAGAAGTGACTCTTTTTTCTGCTCCCCCGCCCCTTCTCCCGCCAGATGAAGCATGTCACGAAACTTCAAGAATTCGGGTATGAGATAGTCACGGCCGGTTCTTTCTCTCTTTTGTGTTGTCTTTAGATAATTTTTGCAATTCATCTTTCAGTTTGCAACTTCTGCCATTTCTTTTTTTCTCGTACATTCCCAACAGAACTGAATCTTGCAGACTTGCTACTGCTCTCTTGTCAATCAGCTTCCCTCTTTGCGGCACGAGCTTCGCATAAAGGATCAAGAAGGATTGATCGGCTCGCACGGCGCTGAGGGTAACTTAGCAGGACAGAAAGCGACATTCTCGCGCTTCGCAATGCGACATCGCGCGGCAGGCCAGCGCATCCACAGCGAAAATAGCGACGGTACAAGCGGTGCGCATGAATGAGAGCGCGTTATTTTTGCTCTGGCTTCTAAGTTGCGACAAGGAATTTGAAGACTTACTAACCATAGACTAATGAGGAACGAGGCAAATGGCCACCAGAAGTAGGACCACTAAATTTAGCAGTGAGAAAAGAGTAGGTTAATTTAGCAGTGGATGGATGGAGACCCTGGGAGAGGAGTGGTTGATGGACGTATCGAGGAGACTTCACGGCCAAAGAGATCGTTCGCGGAGGGACCTAGACAGTGTGGCTATGTATATAGCCAGTATTTTACTTGGCCTTGATGAGTGCTGAATTACCGCCGTTCACCATTATTTGAAGTATTCTAGGATTCGTAGAAATACCACATTAACGCGAATCGCTCGCGAATCGTGTGCTAATTCACAAAACATTTCCTTTGATGAAAGAGAATTGAGTGATGTCACCGCATGTCTCAATACAATGAGTTGAGAACGCAGGGCAAGCAATAAATCAGAAACTTGCCAAATTCACGCATGCGAAAAAAGCTGCATCATTCGCAGTGCTCTTCATTTACCGTAGCTGTTGGCGCTGCGGAGCATTAGACCGCCGCGCGATGTCGCTTGCGCGAAGCGCGAAAAATGTCGCTTTCTGTCCTAACCGAGGAAGGCGTCTTTCAGGGCGTGCCAGCTTTGAAAACGGTCTTTTTGCATTGATTAAGCAGACTGGAACCACAAACCATGTGCTCAATTTTGTCCTGAACGGCCCGCTGAATACCCAGAAAAGAGGTCCCTAGTTCGCATCCTCGTGGTGTACAAATTTTGAGTTCGGGGTGGCTTCCAAATTCGCGCAAAAGTAGCATGAATAATCAGCACCATACTCATTGAGTTAGGACGTCAGTAAACCTTACAATAGACTTTGCATCTCAAAAACTGTTGTGAAAAGGTGTGGCACACAGTGGGGGCTGCTTGCGTGTCACACCTCTTACACAATTTTAGAGGCACAAATTCTTCTTGTAGGGGCTGACTTGACGCGTCCTAATCGTGACATGGTAACATATTATTCACGCTAACTCTTTGTGTGCGAATTTTTTATCGTCAATCTTGCGAAATGCCAAAAAAAAAATTTAGTCACACGACGGGAATCGAACTAGGACCCCCTTTTCGGTATTACAGAGGGGCCATTAGAAAAATAACCGTGGGCTTCTGTGGTCTCCCGCATGTGCCCCCGATATTGATGCAAATACCGTTTGCAAAAAGCTTGGCACGCACTGAAAGACCTTCCTGGTAAGTACCCAACCACCCCTATGGATCGGTGCAGTTTCATGATCCCAAAAATAGCTGAAGCTCTATGCTTCTAAGAACATTGTGATTTTAATTGCAACTCGAACTCTATCCATCATTTCTCTTCGCTATGATCAAGTTATTCGTTCCAATTCAGTATCTTTCTTATTTCTTTGACTCGAAGAAGATCTTAGCTCGACGAAACTGTCTGGAAGTTTCCTTTGAACACTCAACTACCCGACCTGTGAGAGTGAAGAGGTGTTACTCGGTCATCCACTCAGAAGACAACGCCGGGAGGCTACTCGAGCCTCCGTGCCCGAAAATGAATAAGCTCGGAGCCTAAGTCCCAGTGCCTGGCCTTGAATTCTGAACTAGAGCTTAACGAAAAGTCAGCTGCTTGCAAACTTATGTTCTTTTGCTCTTTCGTTACTTTAGGGAGGCCTTCGATAAACGTTTTCGGCAGTCGATCTTGTCGATACATCGTTACTCGTACGAAGCCTGCTCTTTACCATCCCCAAAGGCCGGGACTAACCTCCTCCTCCATTCGTCCCCTAC